TACGGTTGGTACGCTCCTTGTAGAGGGCCCAGCACGTTCCATTGGAAGCTCAACTGGGTGCGGAGTGCCTCAGACCGCCCACGCTACTGCCTGAAGTAGCCCCCCCTGGCTGCCGCCATGAGGAGAACTAGATCAAGGCAGAGGCAACGGAACTCCGCCCCTTGAGGAAACGGAGCTTGGCCCGCGACTCCGAGATGATCCTCTTCCAGCAATGAGAAGATGACTCATCCACAAACGCCACCTCAGCATGCTACATGCCCAGGCACGTGAGGCAGCGATCGTGACCATCACCCAGCGTCAGGTAACGACCGCATCCAGAAACGCCCGGGTGATACATTGTCTATAGCAAGACCCACATCGTCTTTACAAAGACGTAACGTCAAGTTTGCCACGCAACGTCGTCTTTAAAAAGATGCACCCGAAATTGCTCTTTTAGGGGAAAAAGAGTTTTTTGTTGAGATGCATATTAAACAAAAATAAGTTTGCATGTGTTTTTTGTTGAGATGCATATTAAAAAACATAAGTTTTCATATATGTTTTTTGTTGAGATGCATATTAAAGAGAAATAAGTTTGCATATATGTTTTTTGTTGAGATGCATATTAAAGAAAAATAAGTTTGCATATGTATTTTTTGTTGAGATGCATATTAAAAAACATAAGTTTGCATATGTATTTTTTGTTGAGATGCATATTAAAGAAAAATAAGTTAGCATATGTATTTTTTGTTGAGATGCATATTAAAGAAAAATATGTTTGCATATGTTTTTTTTGTTGACACCAATAATTAGGGAGACGTAACAGATGCATCAGGCTTTTATCAGACTATATGTCTGATTTAGTGAGAATACGGAGGAAAAACCAGCTCGATTTTATTCAGACACTCAAATTGAGCAAAAATATGTAATTTGGTGCATTGTTGATATGTACATGATCAAAAAGTGATCAAAGAGATCTTTATAACAGTAGAGCAGATACTGACATAAAATTATATAAATATCAGTGGTCGCTCTATATCGCCAATAATATGTCTCAGTAAGAAGAGATTGAAATGATTCAAACATATAATGCAGTGATTGAGAGCTGAAGAAATAAAGGCTCCTCAGAAGATGTGAGATGTTCTGGAGCCTCCGCTGGGGAACAGTGAAAGTAAAGCTTCTGGAAACAAACGCTCCTCAAAAGATCCTGAGGATCAGATTTGAGACTCTAAAACATGATTGATGGAGAATCAAGTAAAGCTGAGCTGCTTCAGTGCAGTAAGTGTTCATCTGGAGATATTACTGCAGTTATTCTGATGCTTACTTGAGAAAAATCAGTCAAGATTTGACAGCAGAAAGACACGTGAAGCTCCAGCAACAGTTACACTAAAAGAGAGCTCTGACTGGATAAAAAACTCAAAACTCTCAATCAGAGACAGAAGGCATGCAGGAGATTATGTGCGACAGCAGAGTTTGATCATGATGATCATTTAGAGCCTTAGAAATGTAATCAAATATGATACAGTAGGCTTTAAAGGGTTAATGTGATTTTTATTCACAGAACACATGAAAAGTTAAAAACATGGCCATCCCATCATTCCTCAGAGACGAGTCCTGACGGGATTTGACTGCCGGTCTCACCTGTCTGAAGCAGCTGGGAAGAGCGGGAACGGACGACGACTCTGTTAAATACGCGTCCCATGAGAACGACTCGGTCACTGCAGCAGAGAAACACACATGAGGCGCTTCACAGACTCATTACCATCACATTCAGTGCTTACAGTTCAAAGTCAGTACCTTTGACCGGTCCAGGACCTGTGAGAGACATGCTCCGGCCCGCTTTGTCCTTCTTACTGTCCTTGTGATCTGCAAAAGAGAAATGAATGAACAATAAACAAATTCAGTAGGTGACTCTCATGTAGAGCATTTCTGGTCACAATGTTTGGGTGAGTACACGATGAGTGAAGTGTCATTTTTGGGTGAACTCTCTGTAAGTCTGTCTGATTGTGTTTTACCTTTCAGTGCCGTTCGGACCATGTTGAGCATCGGCTGCTGTATGAACGTCCTGCAGAGATCTGAGAGACACACAGAGGTCATGCAGATCTGTCAAACGTCTAGCAGCATGGTTTTAAAATGCCTCGTTAAGTTAAAGTAGTTCAAAATGAGTCTCTCAAGTGAGATGCATTTCATAGAGCAGCAGAATTCACAGAAGGTTAGTTTTTAATGCTTGAATTGCTCCAATATTAGGATAATTCTTTATTGTATTGCAATTTACAAATGGGTCATGGGTTTAGAGGACCAAACCTGCATAAAAAAAAAAAATGAATGAATGAAAGTTTAAAAATAAAGAAATAAATGTAATTCTTTATTATATTACAATTTACAAATGGGTCATGGGTTTGGAGGACCAACCCTGCATAAATAAATGAATGAATGAATGAATGAAAGTAAAAAAAATAAATACAAATAAATGTAATTCTTTATTGTATTGCAATTTACAAATGGGTCATGGGTTAGGAGGTATGGAGGACGAAACCTGCAAAAAACAATAAATAAATAAATAAATACACAAATAAATACATAAATGTGTGCATAAATACACGTATTCTTGTTTAAATACATAAATAAATAATTATACATGTGATGAAAGTCTATTTATTTATTTATTGTTTTTGCAGGTTTGGTCCTCCATAGTTTGGAGGACCAAACCTGCAGAAATAAATAAATGAATGAATGAATAAGTAAATAAAAGTTCAAAAAGAATAAAAATAAATGTAAAAATAAATACAGAAAATAATACATAAAGGAAAACGGTAATAAAAATAAATTCAGGTTTAAATTTGATTACAAATGAATTATATTGGTTTTATCAAGTCATTTATTTCTTTATTTTCCTAGTATTAATTAATTAATTAATTAATTTTTACATTTTTGCAGGGTTGGTCCTCCATACATGGGGCATGAATTTTTGTTGCATTTGTTTTAAAATAATTAATAATACCAAAATATCACACACACACAATACAGCAAAAAAAAGTCAACATTGATAATGATAATAACTATTATTAACTATTATTAATAATTAAGCATCAATAATAAATGATATATATTGATATATTTGATATTTGAATGATATAATTGTACAAAATTACTTTTGATATAAATTTTGATACCTATATATTATATTTTGGTGTGTACACACACACACATACAAGTTATTTTTAAATGAAAACACTGATATTTTAGTTTTTCTCAAGACAAAATAATAATTACATTAACACAATTTATCACAAAATGTACAGTCACTGATGCTTGAGGAAGCAAAACACACAATTTTGAAAATGAATTGTAATGTGTGTAAACGAAGCTGTATTTTTTTTGTCAAATAGCTTCATCGGGGTAGTAATCCGTCCTCATCATGCAGATTCAGTAAGAGCCATGTGAACTCATGAGAAGAACTATTAAAGCTAAACCGTGACTCACGGCACAGGACACGGATCTCTCTCTTATGAGACATGAAACAGAAAACACACTCTCTGTCGAGGGATGGAAACTTCCCAAAACACACAAACACACACTTCATTTCAGCCGCCCACGCAAACACACACTTCCTTCATACGGCAAAGAACGTAAAGCATCTGATGAGCGAAATCTCCTGCGCTGAGCTCAGACGGACGCATCTGACGACAATAGAGGAGTCCTGTTAGATCATAATTGAATCCACACGCCGGCAGACAATTATAGACGGAAAAAATTAGTTGGTTATTTATGTCAAGCAATTATAGAGTTAATTCCGCTCGCGTCTCCAGTGACCTTCTCGCTCTGTCGTTCAGTTGTTCAGTCTGCCGTCATAATCGCGCTCTTTCACCCTGACTCTCCTCCGCTCGGGTTTCACTTTCGCAGGCCACAGAATAATGTCAGTGTTTCTGTGCTAAAGCACTCAATGTCTCTCCAACCAGGGCTATTGACAAAAACTTCAACCATAAATAAACACATTTTCATTACTTCAAATATATAATAATAATAAAAACCTTATTTATACTAATTAAAGTAACTAAAACTAAAACCATAGAAAAACCGTTTCATTACCTGAAATAAAATCAACTTTAACAGAATATAATAATAATAATAAAACCTTAAAGGAAAGAAAATATTAAAAATAAAATATATAAAATATAATTTGTTATTTCACAAATTTGCCAAGGCAGCATTTTCACTTAGTTTATTTATACTAATTAAAGTAAATAAAACTAAAACCATAGAAAAACCGTTTCATTACCTGAAATAAAATCAACTTTAACTGAAATAAAATGAAATGTAAAAAAGTAAACTAATTTTATTTCAGCTAGTTGCCAAGCCAACATTTCTCATCTTTGTTTAGTTTCCCTTGAAGTACTACATTTTAAAATAACTAAAATATATAAATAAAAGTCATTACTTGAAATAAACATGAACTAAAATTAAATTAAATATACAAAAAAACAATTTTTTCAAAAAACAGTACATTTATTTGAGCTAGTTGCCAAGGCAACATTTTTCATTTTCACTTAGTTTAAATTGAAGTACTAAAGTAACTACATAGAAAAAAATAATTACTTGAAATAAGATAAAATAAACTGAAATAAAATCTTAAAAAGTGAACTGTATTTCAGCTAGTTGCCACGCCAGCATTTCTTATTTTTGTTTAGTTAAACTTGAGGTAGTAAAATAACAAACGTAAAACTAATAAAAACTTAATAAAAACATATTTAAAAATAACAAAAATCACAACAAAAAATACTAAACTTGAACTAAAATTAAAATGAAAACAAACTACAAAAATTAAACTAATTTTAAATATTATTAAAAACTATTTGTCTAAATTTGTCACAATTACGGTATAAAATAATTTTATACTCGAATTACACAGAAACTCGCTCTGCTCGTGTTTCATGAGATCCACTGTGTGCTAAACGTTTAAAAAAAAAAATAAAATCTTACAATAAAATAGCACAAATTCAATTTATGAATGTCATTTGTTGTCAGATATTTTAATATCTTAACTTTTATCCATTTTTCACTGTTTAATACACTGGAAAAAAAGTGTAAAAAACATTTTCACTATGAAATTGTTAGTAAATTTTACAAAATAATTACAAAGAAAATGGCAAGTAACATTAAATAAAACACTAAATTAAGTAGAAATTAAACAGTATTTTCTAATAAAACTTACTCGAATAATCTTTGTTTTAATTCCATCATGTTGTATTACCGTGTAGTAACACATTTCTGTTATGGTCAGTTTTGTGTGGAGTTGATCGTCTGTGAGAACAACAGATCCTTCATTAAAACAGCAGCTGCCCTGCAGCTCTAATGATGTGTGCGGGGTCAGAGGTCATCGCTAATCGATTCTCCTGCTAACTGCGAACCATTTCTGAATCACACTTCATTTGCTCAGATTTCAGCTGTAATATTAGTGAAACTGGGAATAAATACAATCAGAACTTCCTTAAGATTCATAAAACAATCATTACGTTGAAATCGGAACCAAAACCATTAACTAAATATGCATGAATCTCATTAAATGTCATTTTTTACCTCAAATTCAGAAGACTTTTTTTTTATTATTTACTTTATTATTTTAAAACTCATCATGGTTTAATTTATGCAAAAAATCTTAAGAGTCCTTAAACAGACTTTATATATCACATAATTTTTCCTTTTGATTTTGGGATGAATTCTGACAGATATTTCTTTGTAAAATACACTAGAGATCAGATTCTCAGTCACTTCTAATGATGTTATTTTAGATTTCAGCTTTTCTCTACATCAGAGAGCAAACTATATGTACACAGCGCTTAAAAAACACAGTATTCAATGCAATCACAATAGGCAAAATGACTCAAATATTCCACACAAAGAACGTCCTAGAGTCGCAGACACACACACACACTCGCACGCATGCACACACACACACTCGCACGCATGCACACACACACACGCACACAGACACACACACACACGCACACTCACGCACACACACACACACACACACATGCACACACACACACACATGCACACACACACACTCACATGCAGACGCACACAGTCTCACGCACACGCACACACTCACAAACACGCACACAGACACACACACACACAGACACACACACACACAGACACACACACACGCACGCACACACACTCGCACACACGCACACACACACACAGACACACACACTCGCACGCACACACACACACACACACTCACTCTCACTCACACACACGCACGCACACACACTCGCACACACGCACACACACACACAGACACACACACTCGCACGCACACACACACACACACACTCACTCTCACTCACACACACGCACGCACACACACTCGCACACACGCACACACACACACAGACACACACACTCGCACGCACACACACACACACGCACGCACACACACTCGCACGCACGCACACACACACACACACACTCACATGCACACGCACACAGACTCACGCACACACGCACACACTCCGTTTACATGATTGCAAAGATATTATTTAAACTGAACTGAGCTGGATGTTGACATCACTGAATTCAATGATGAACTGTCTTTAACTGAAAAATGAGTGTTTACTATTGTCATTTTGCATTATTGACACTATTTTCCTAATTAATGCTGTTCAGTTGCTTTGTCACAATCTGTATTGTTAAAAGCGCTATATAAATAAAGGTGACTTGACTTGACTTGACACACACACACACTCACATGCACACGCACACACTCACGCACGCACACGCACACACTCACGCACGCACACACACTCACGCACACACACACATGCGCACACACGCACACGCACACTCACACACACACACACACACACACGCACACACACACATACGCACACACTCACACTCACACACGCACACACGCACACACACGCACACGCACACACACACATACGCACACACTCACACACTCACACACACTCACACACACGCACACACACACATACGCACACACTCACACACTCACACACACTCACACACACGCACACACACGCACTCACGCACACTCACGCACACACTCACACGTCACTGTTTTGTGTCAGAATGATGAACTTACAGTCAAATGATAGTTTATGGGAAAAAATACTGAAAACAATTTTTCTTTTGGAAACATTTTTTGTGATAATGTTTATTTGATTTATCTGTTTTTATCTCGATTAATTGAATACAATTCAGATAAAAAGCTCCTAAAACTAACATTAGGAATCTCTCCTGACCCATAAATCTGATCATATTCCTGAAATGGTTTTGATAATCAGTTATTCTGTTTATTATTTAAATAACTGGATAAGAGTCATATATATATATATATAAAAAACAGCAACCTAAAACTAACAAAAAGCAGTAAACGGATGCTATAAATATAAGCAGAATATATGCATATAATAAATATATACAAACATAAGCAGAATTTCAAACTGAGAAGTGAATGCAATAATTTACATACGTTTTTTTTCAATGTTGTAAATACAGGATTTCTGGAGTTTTTTTTTTTTTACAAGAAAATACTATTTCAGCCTTTGTTACTTTACTTGTTTTATATTTCACATTTAATTCAATGAGTTACTTGTCATTTCTTTGTATTTATGAAATTTACTAGCAATTTGCGATTGAAAATTTTCAACACCAATTTTTTTTCCAGTGTGCAACAGTTTATGTAAAATAGTGATGGAAAATTGGCCAAAGGTTAGGCAAAACTGAATTTAATGTCACAATTACTGCATGTAAAAATATTATTATGAATGTATTACACAAAAAAGTTAGATCCACTTTATGCAAATACGTTTTTACTTATAAAACTCACACACACACACTCACAAACTCACACACACACACACACTCACACACATACACACGCACACACACACTCTCACACACGCACACACTCACACACACACACACACACTCACACACACACACACACACACACACACACACACACACACACACACTCACACACCCACACACAAACACACACACACACTCACAAACTCACACACACTCACTCACAAACACACACACTCAATCACACATACGCACACGCACACACACACTCTCACACACGCACGCACACACGCGCACTCACGCACACACGCACACACACTCACAAACTTTTTAAATTATTATAGTGTTTATTAAATATTGAATATAAAATAAATTGTTATTACATATTATTATATTGACTTTTATTAAACAAAGTAATTAAGGTTAAAATGACTATTAATATTATCATTAATTGAACATTTCAGACATCAGCACATCTCAGGGATGAAAACCCATCTCTCTGACTCGCCTACAAAGCGCTTTATCATAACATATCCCATAATTCCCCTGAGATTCCCACAGCAAAGGAATCAGGAATCTCTCTGATCCCATCCTTCCCTGAGGCGTCACATTCCTGAGACTCGTCCGCCCCAAAAACACAACACACAGTACCAGCGGTCCGATCCGCCACACTTCCAGAATCATTCCTTCACAGAAATGTTCATTTCGAAGCTTCGTTTGATTCACCGCTTCACTCGTTTGAGAGCTGATTGACAGGTGGGCGGGGTTTAGTGTTGTGATTGGGTGTGGTGGGCGGAGTTAATCTGTGATTCTCTTGCTTTTCGTCGTTCACAACAACAAGCACGCACGCTGCTCAGGACTGCTTTCATTTGCATGTTTGATTTCAAGCGGTTTGCATCATACAGCACGTGTCCCTGCCTCCGTCAGACACTCTCTCTCTGCATCACAGACACATCACAGCAGAACATTCAGCACACACCAGACATTTACATCACTCCCAAACACCTGCACGAGCCTGCGCTCCTCCCTTACATTCATTTATCATGCAACCTGAAAACGCACAGCTGACACATTTATTTACAACAATAATAATAAAGAAAGAAAGAAAAAAAGAAAAGAAAAAAGAGATAAAGATTCTGAAAGTTTCCCATATTCATTTTTACTGAATTAATCATTATTTTCCAAAGTACCACAGTTACTCATATGCTTGGTATGGAATTTATTTTTATTTTATTTTATTTTTTTGTGATACAAAGCGTAAAAAAATATATTATGCTATATATATATATATATATTAGTGCTGTCAAATGATTAATCACATCCAAAATAAAAGTTTTTTACATAATATATTTATATATAATATAAATTATATATATATATACATACATATATATATACGTAAATATTTATATACATAAAATATATACATGTTTGTGTGTTTATATACATAATAAATACAGTACACACAAATATTATGAAAACAAAACTTTTATTTTGGATGCGATTAATCTATGTATCTATCTATATAAAACATTTTATTTAAAATTTTATATAATATATATATATATATATACAATTTTAAATAAAATGTCAATTTAAATGTAAATTTAACAAGAATTAATACATTTATAATAAACTTATATTACTTGTAAAATATTATCATTAATTATTTATTATATAAAAAAGTATATACATAGCTACACATTAAATGTATCATAATTACAAATTAATACATAGATATATAATTGTAATTAAATATAACATAATAGTACTATAGTGCATATATATATATTATTATATTATTTAGTAATTAAAAAATATAATATATATAATAAAATTGTAAGTAATCCATTGAAAGCACACGGAGAAAGAAAATCTGTTAAACATTTGGAAGAATATCAGAACCACATATATAATAAACAATTAATGTAAAAACACTTTAGCTGCTACAGAGAGACACTGTGATGGTATTTAATAATTACTATATTAATTTTTCAAGGCATTTACATGGAATTTCTAAATACTTATAATAATACTATGGTACATCTCGGGGGAGAAAAAAAACATGGTGTTACCAACAAAATACATGACAACTGTGTTTTTTGTTTTTTTTTGCGTAAACTTTGTAAACAATATCTGTGTTTTGAACTGTGCATAACTGATGTAATAACGCAGTAATACTGCTATCTGAGCTTGGCGGTGAAAATATGAGTGTGTTTACAAACAGAGATGACTACACCCCCCCTCTGATCATACACACCATCAGCGATATGATCAATATCGACGAAACATAAACATAAACGCGTTATTTGATCAGACTCTTCAGAAATAACAACATCAGTGACCGCCAGCAGCGCAGAGAGTGCTGGACACCAGGCGAAATAAACGCCTGATTTATCATATGCAGCCTTTGCAAAAGCCCACCGTTGCCATCCCACAAGAACGACTGATATCCTAACATATGGGAGAGGATAGAAGAAGTGCGGAAATGTCGACCAACCTTCGCGATTTTGTCGAAATGTAGACAGAATTCAGCACTTTTCGCAGCTCTCCGTCGCCATGTTTGGGTCAGAACTGCGCATGCGCAGACGCGGGGCAGCGTCGCGTGTCTCGCGCATACGCACGCAGTATTGTGAAAACCTATTGCTCTGTTTATTAAAACGAGTGGAATCGTAAGCATTGTTTAAATCAAGCTTATTATCAGTATTATTTAATTAATAATTAATTAATTGATTGTAACCAGTCATAACGTCTGCGATTTACTAGGACAATTTATTTATTTGATTTATTTTATTTATTTTATTATTTTATTTATTTAGTCATTTATCAGACGCTTTTATCCAAAGCGACTTCAAAAATGAGGACAACAGAAGCAATCAATTGTAGCATTAAACCAACTAAAAACAGATCCAAAGCTAAAAGCTAAAACTTTATAAATGCTACTTATGCACGTTTTAAAAATAAAGAAATTAAATAAAAAATGACAAATGCATACAACAAAATGTCAAAATTTAACATTTAAATGAAAAACCAAAAATAAAGCTAAAAACAATTCAAAATATTAAAGAACAAAAGGTATGAGAGTATAATAACGAGATCCAAAGCTAAAAGCTAAAACTTTATAAATGCTACTTATGCACGTTTTAAAAATAAAGAAATTAAATAAAAAATGACAAATGCATACAACAAAATGTCAAAATTTAACATTTAAATGAAAAACCAAAAATAAAGCTAAAAACAATTCAAAATATTAAAGAACAAAAGGTATGAGAGTATAATAACGATTCTAACATAACACCAAAATGTATGTACAACCATATATATATATATACACATACACACATTTATAAATTCAATATATATATTATTTCATTTCCATTTAGTTTGTTGAAGTATTAAAATAACTCAAATTAAATAAAGCTGAAAACTTAATAAAAGACCTATACAGACATAATAAATTCAGACATCATTTAACTCAAATTAAAATAAATAACAAATACAACTAATACAAATCAAACTACATTAGTTTATCAGTAATCCTAAAACAATAACACTGAGCCAAACACACATGCTAAAATAACAACAACTTACTGACACATAGTAAGAAATGGTTATAAAAGTGAAACAAGTAATAGGAATTGATTAAGTTAATGAAGATTGTTTCATTGTTTTAATGCATGCCAGTGTAGTTTTATCTTGTTTATGTAGCCATCTAACAAAATAATGCTTTTAAAGAATTCTATTATGCTCATTAAGCCTGCATTTATTTGATTCCAAAGTACAGCAAAAGCAGTAAAATTGTGAAATATTTTTACTATTTAAAATAACTGCTTTCTATTTTAATATATTTTGAAATGTAATTTATTTCTGTGATGCGCAGCTGTATTTTCAGCATCATTACTGCAGTCTTCAGCATCACATGATCTTCAGAAATCAGTATAATATGCTGATCGAGAAACATTTCTGATTATTATTAATAATAATGATATTTAAAACAGTTGAGTGAATTTTTTTCAGGATTCTTTGATGAATGGAAAGACCCAAAGATCAGCATTTATCTGAAATAAAAAGCTTTTGTAACTTTACACCATTTTTGGGAAAGAAATTATAGAAATTAATACTTTTATTTAGCCAGGACGCTTTAAATTGATCAAACGTGATGATAAAGACATTTATAATGTTACAGATGTTTTCTATTTCAGATAAATGCTGTTCTTCTGAACTTTCTATTCATGAAAGAATCATGAAAAAATTATACTCAGCTGGTTTCAACATAATAATAATAATTATAAATGTTTCTCGAGCAGCAGATCAGCATATTATACTGATTTCTGAAGATCATGTGACACTGAAGACTGCAGTAATGATGCTGGAAATACAGCTGTGCATCACAGAAATACATTATATTCTAACAGATATTCACATAGAAAACAGTTATTTTAAATAGTAAAATATTTCACAATATTACTG